GCTGGTGTATTATTAACATCAGCCAAAACAGAAGTTAAAGTAAAAAAGCTTTAGTAAAAATAAAGAAGTACATGACATAATGATAAAGGAAGACTTGCATGACCTAACCATGGCCTAAAAATATGTATTGAACCAAAACTGACAGAATTACATAGAGAAATCAAAAGTCCACCATCTTATAAGAGATTTATAATATATTTCTGTCAAACTGAAGGATGAAGCTGACAAAAGATTAGAAAGATGTAAAAGAACTCATGAACACGATCAGTGTGAGTCAGCTGACATCAAGAGAACTCTGTGTCCGACTGATAGCAGATAAAATAGTCGTTATTTGGGGGCACATCGAACATTCACAGAAATTGACCACTTGTTAAATCACCCAAGAAATTCCTACAAATGATAAAGAATTGCTATCCTACAGAGCACATTCTTGATATAATTTAAATAAATAGAAACCACTAGTAAAGAGAAGTCATTTAAAATCTTCCCCATATTTGAAAGCTGGAGGATTGAGTTAAAGAAGACGTCACAATGGATGTTATAAAATGTTTAGAACTGAACAAAATGTCAAGACATGGGATGAAGCTGAAGCAATACTTAGAAAATTTAAAATTTTAAATGCAAATATCAAAATAAAAGAAAGGTTAAAAATAAACAAGTTAAGTATTCATCTTAAAAATCTAGAAACAAAGAGTCAGCCGAAGAAAAATTGAAAGCAGGAAAAAATGATGAGAAAAGCAGACGTTAGTGAAACAGAAGACTAAAACATGAAGATAATGAAATCATCAAATCTTTTTCTCAAGAAGACTAATGAAGTAGATAGCTTTATAGCAAGACCTATCAAGAAAAAAAGCACGAATAAAAAGTGTAGCCCAAAAGGGAGGCATAACTACAGAAAAGGGAGTGATTTTTTTAAACCCCAAAAGAATAGTATGGCAACTTTGTGCCAACAGATTTGAAAACGTAGATGAAACATGCATGTTTATAGGAAAACATCAATTACTTAAATTAGCTCAAGAAGAAATAAAAAACCTGGATAATTTTATAACCGTTAAAGAAATAGATCCATAGTCAAAGCTCTCCTCTTGTCTTTCTGCCTGCCCTGGGCCTGGTGAGTTATAAGGTGAGTTTTATCAAGTCTTCAAGGAACGGATAGTAACTCACTCAGACCGTTTCAGAGAAGGGAAGAAGCGATTTCATGAGGCTAGTACAACCTTGACACCACAGCCAGGCAAGGACAACGTAAGAAAAACAAAACGCAGACCAGAATGTGAGCTCCGTGAGGCGGGGTCTTTGTCTGTTTTGTCACCGACAGTCCTGCGCACCTGAATATTGCCTGACACACAGCAGCACTCTGCATGTTTGCTTGGTGAAGGTAGATGCAGACAATCTGAGATGAAATATTCAAAAGTCAAATCCAACTGTGTCTGAAATAGAACCTCATAGCTAAACTTTGTTTATTCCAGTAATGCAAGGACTTGTCAGTGTAATTTCCCTATATCTACAGGTTAAAAGAGAAAAATAAGCATGTCAATAGATGTAGAAAGATAAAACATTGATATGATGATAAAAACATCATATAATAAGAATTGAGAGGGCTTAAAAAAACCCCAGAGCTAGGTGGCTGGTAGCTAATAGGTATGGGTTTCTTTTTTTACGGGATGAAAATGTTCTAAAGTTGACTGTGGCAATGGTTGCACATATCTGTGAATATACTAAAAACCATTGAATTATACACTTTAAAGACTAAACTATATGGCATGTGAATTATATCTCAATAAAGCTGTTATTTTAAAAAGACTATAGCAGACATCACAGGTAAAAGATTGTATGATGGTTAATTTTAAGTGTCAACCTGGCTGGACCACAGGGTGCCTAGATTAAACGTGTCTGTGAAGGTGTTTCTGGAGGAGATTAACATTTGAATTGGTAGACTGAGTAAAGCAGATTGCCCTCTCCAGTGTGGGAGGCCTCATCTAATTCACTGACGGCCTGAATAGAACAAAAAGGCTGAATAAGGGATAATTTGCTCTCTCTGCCTGTCTTTAAGCTGGGACTTCAGTCTCATCTCTTGCTTTCGGACTTGGACTTGGACTGAAACTTACACCATCATCTCTGTTGTCGACTGTGTATATTGGGACTTCTTGGCCTCCATAACCACATGAGCCAATTGCTTATATATGTCACCTATTGGTTCTGTTTCTCTGGAGAACCCAGACTAATACAGATTGAAAGAATTATAATTAAAGAAAAAACAAGGGTGCCTAGTATTTAGGCAGTTGAAGGCGATGTAATGAGATAAGAAAAAGAAAGAGGTGGAAGGACTGGAAAGGAATAGACAAGATTGTTATTATTTGCAAATGATGTGGTTATTTACATAGAAAATCCAAGAGAATCAGTTAGAAATAAGAGAATTCACCAGTGTTACTGAACACAAGATCAACATACAAAAATGTAGCTTTTCTATATAACAACATCATTCAATTAAAAAGAAGGATTTCATTCACAGTAGTAACAAAAGCTATAAGGTACCCAGAAATAAATCTACAAAAATCATGTAAGACTTTCATGGGTGAAATTATAAATTGTTATTAAAGGACCTAAAGAACTGAATACATGGATGGATATATTTATAAATGGGAAGCCTTAATATAGAAGGGTATCAGTTCTCCCTAATTTAATCTATGAATTCAGTGTAGTCCTGATCCAGATTCCAACAGCACTGCTCTTGAAATTGAGCATCTTGATTATGTGGAAGAGTAAATGTCCAAGGAGAGCAAAGATAATCCAGGAAGGAAGGGTTTCCCCGCAGGCTACCAAGACTTTTTATAAAGCAAAGTACTGAAGATTGTGAGATATAAAGACAAAATGCCAAAAGAACAGTCTAGAGAGCCCAGAAACATGGCCAAGCCTATGTAGGAAGTTGGTTTTGTGAGAAAGATGGCATTATAAATCAATGGGGGAAGGACACAGTAGTCAAAAAAATGGGTCTGGGAAAATTGGCTTTCCATATGGGAAAAAAAGTAGACCTTCATCTCCATGCATACATAGAACAGTAATTATAAATTTCACTTGGATTAGAAACCTAAATGTGAAAAACCAAACTTTAAAATGATTAGAAGAAAATATGGGAAAATATCTATGACCTTGGGATGGACAGGAATTTCTTAAACTAGGTGCAAAAAGCAGAAACCATAAAGGAAAAGACTGATACATCTGACTACATTAAACTTTATTCTAGGGGCCGGCCCCGTGGCTTAGCGGTTAAGTGCGTGCGCTCCGCTGCTGGCGGCCCGGGTTCGGATCCCGGGTGCGCACCAACGCACTGCTTCTCCTACCATGCTGAGGCCGCGTCCCACATACAGCAACTAGACGGATGTGCAACTATGACATACAGCTATCTACTGGGGTTTTGGGGGAAACAAAATGGAGGAGGATTGGCAATAGATGTTAGCTCAGAGCCGGTCTTCCTCAGCAAAAAAAAACAGGAGGATTAGCATGGATGTTAGCTCAGGGCTGATCTTCCTCACACACACACACAAAAACTTTATTATAATACAAGAATAAGTTAAGCAAAGAGGAGACTAGAAGCAGATAGTCCCACTAAACATTACAGATGGAGAGTTGGTGTATCTGACAACGCATGGGAAGTCTCACAAGTCAGTAAGAAAAAGGCGAGTCAGCAGAAAAGTAAGCCAAAGAGTTGAAAAGGCAGGCCACAGAAGAGGAGGTCTGAATGGCCACTGGCTGTATGAGAAGACGTCAGACCTCACTGGCTTGCCCTTTCACCCCATCGGATGGGAGCTGTCAAAGGGTGTGACAATGCCAAGGATGGTGGGAAGGTGTGAGGTAAAAGAACCTACACTGCTGGCAGGAATGTAATTTGGGATAACTGCTTTGGAAACGTCTAGTCAAGTCAAAGATGTATGTAACCCACTATCCAGCAATTCCAGTTCTGGACAAATTTTTCATGTGTGCACAATGAGACATTATAGCAAGAACCTGGAAACCACTGAAGTGCCTATCAGGAGGAAAAAAGGTAAATAACTTGGAGGAACACTATGCAATGGTTTACCTGAATAAGTGGATTTATATGTATCAACATGGATAAACTTCAAAGGTATAATAGTGAATGAAAACAGTGAGTTGAAGAATGATATGTGTAGTCTGATACCTTCTTGTGCAAGTTTAAAACACACATGGTGTATTTGTTTATAGACACACGTGTGTCTGGTGGTGTGGAACTATAAAGACACGGATCCTCGCCAGATCCATGATTGGAGTTGCCTGTCAGGAGTGATCCTGGGCAGGGGACCTGGTGCAAATGTGACACATTGTTAACAATTTTCATTTTGAGTGGTGGACATACGAAGGTCTGTTATTTTATCCTCTTGTACTTTTCCACAAATACAAGTAGAAAAGAGACATGTGTTTTCTGATGGGGCAAGGATTCCACGTAGCAGCCCTCATAGCCTGGACGACAGGGGCGACAGTGGCAGGAACCTGCAGGGTCAGAGGCCCTGCAGGTGTTTTCTGGCCTTGAGCAGCTCATGGCCCCTCTCTGGACCTCAGTCTCCTCAACTGTAAACCAGTGACCTAGGCGGCTCTGGGAGTTGGGGAGGCTACGCCTCCCAGCGCTGCCTTCTTTCTCCAGCTCGTTGCTGTGGTTTTCCTCCTTGCCTTTACTCACCTTTTTCTTCTGCTCAGAGCTCCCTTTCCATCTTGGGCTGAAAACCTAGAGCATATTCATCTTTTCAGGCCTGACCCAGCTCAGCAGCATGTCCTTCTGGAGCTTTTTCTGGAGGACCCTGGGCCCCCTTGACCTCCAGTAGCACCATCATCTAAAAACCTGTGTGTGTGCATGTGCACGTGCCCACGGGCTCTTGGGGTGCAGCCATGTCTAGACCCCGAGCGAGCATGTGTGTGTGCATGTGTGGGGTGGGGGTGTGTGTGGGTGAAGGTGGCTGTGCAGGCAGCCCTGTGGTGCTCTCCCTCCACAGATCCTGACCGGAGAGGACTGGAACGCAGTGATGTATCACGGGATCGAATCGCAGGGCGGAGTCAGCAAAGGCATGTTCTCGTCCTTTTACTTCATCGTCCTGACGCTGTTTGGAAACTGTATCCTTCTGGGGGCTGGGTACAGGGGGCGAGTGCTTGGCCCGGGCCTGCCTCTTCCTCTTCTTCCCCTGGGGGCCCTGGGGGGTGTGTTGCCCCAAATATGAGGGGTGCCTTCTCCTGAAGTGTGACCTGCGGAGCTCCTCCTTCGGAGGAGATGGCTCGAGTTAAGTCCAGATGGCGAACATTCTTGAGGCCACCTCAGCTCGGGGGATCCGGAGGCTGAGGGGCTCAGGTTGGTGGAAGCATGAGTTGCACGTGGGGGTGTCCAGAGGCAGGGATGGTGTGGTCAGTGGTGGGCTCGGGAAGGATGCATTGGAAAGACGTGAGCTTTGAACACTGAAGACAGCAGGTTGTTGTTGTTTTTTTTCCACTTTAATTTAATTCAATAATTAAGTTTGGCACTGGGCTTTTAAAGAGCCTTCCCCTGCTGAAAACGTAGTTCCTGAAGAGAAATAAAAGAAAAGTTTTCTGTGGAGGATGCCAGTTGGTCTTGTGTTTCAGGGCCTTGTGTGAAAGGGTGGGTCTGTGGGATCAGGCAGCCATGTGAGGAAAGGGAGACTGCAGGGTGAGGTGAGGGCCAGGCCAGGCCAGGCGAGGCGTGCATGTGGCTCCATCGTGGAGTGGGAAATGCAGGCCGAGGAGGGGCGTCTCAGATTCTCAAACTGGTCCACACGCCAGAGTCCCCCAAGGGCCTTCAAAGCCTAGATTCCAGCCCATGAAAATGCATTCTAACAGGCTCCCAGGGGGTGCCGGTACCACTGGCCTGGGGACCCCACTCTGAGAGCTGCTGCGGTAGAACATCCTGTAGAGCCTGGAGGAGAGATCTGAGCTGGAGAGAAACATCTGTGAGTTGTCTTCTCCCAGACTGACCTACCAGCTCTGCCTTATCTCCCTCCTCCACACCAGGCCCCTTCACCCTATCTGTCCCTCCTTGTCTCTGTCTCACTGGCTCTCATGCCAATCTGTGACCTGCAACACTCCAGACCTTGTTTGTCTTTGCTTCTGTCTGCACGTCTCTCCCACTATAGCCCCCAGCAGGGACTGTGTCATCTCTCAGCCCTGTGTAATGTCGCAGCTCAGGTCCTGGACCCCAGGGTGAGGGTTCAGCTTCCCCAGGAGGCTGAGCATGAGGCCCAGGAATGGGGAGCCAGGGGGCTCGAGGGGGCAGTGTTTGTTTGATGTGCTTAGCAGATAGGTGGGACCTGTAGGCTGTTGTGGGAGGGAGCCAGGAAGTGGCAGCCATGGTTGTCAGAGAGGGAAGGAGCCTTCAGTGTTGGCCTCGAATGGGGGGTGGGGAACAGGAGGGGGACAGCTGCTGTTCAGAAGGAGGTGCCACCCCCCCGAGATGGAGCGTTGGCCCGATATGCACCACAGCTGATTCTGACCTTGCACGCTCAGGCTAGGCGTGTCAGCGGTCAAGCCTCCTCGTCCTGTCCAATTGGAGTCGCTCTTGCTGCACCTGTCTGTCCCTGAGGGGCATGTCCTTAGTCCTGCTCTTCGGCTGTGGGCAGGCCTCTGAGGGTGTCCATGGCTGTGTTAGTGCCGGTAGGTGGCAGCCCGGCCTCGGTGTCCTGTCCTGTGGGTTCTGCTGGAGCCCGGAGCAGGCTTGCCTATGAGGCGGTGCTCTGGGATGTGGGCTCCCCTGAGCCTCACACTGGCCCAGAGCCCCTGGGAGGACGGCTGCAACCTGGGGGAACTGAGTCCCCAGGCCTGCAGTGAAAGGACTCGGTTACATGGAGCCCAGCGCTCTAACTGGTGCGACTTGGCCCCCAGAGGACATTGGCGGTGTCTGAGACAGTCTGGCTGGCATGCCTGAGGGGGGAGGTGCTGCTGGCATCGAGTGGGCAGAGCGAGGGATGCTGCTCAACACCCCACAGCAAAGGATTGCCTGGCCCCAAATGTCCGCAGTGCCACGGAATGGAGTAACTTAGGAGGGAAACCATAGAGGGCCGGGGAGGGCCTGGGTCTGCAGGCACAACGCTGAGGCCAGCACGGAGGGCCGGGGAGGGACTGTTCTGGGGAGACGCTGCTCTGAGGAGCACAGGGAAGACAGTGCTGCTCGGCACTGTGATGAGCCTTTGGGAAGCGGTGCTCCAGCAACAGGAAAATTGAAGTGACCCCAATCAGCGCAGTGTGAGGGCCTGATCTTGGAGAGATTCGAGAGGGCAAGGCAGGGAGGAGCAGCTCACCTCGGGCGCATGCCTGTGCCGGCCTTTGGGTCCCTCCGCCCCTGGAACCCTGGGCGAGTTACTTACCCTCTGTGGCCTTTGCTTCCTTATTTCTAAAAGTAGGTTGTAGTAGCACCTCATCAGGGGCCTCCTGGGGGTGCTCAGTGGGATGAGATGGTCGAGGGGTCCTAGTTCTGGACACTCACTGCTGTCTGCTATCTCAGATGTTGTTCCTGTTACTCTGCACCTCGAGGGAGAGGGGCCAGGACTTTGCTTTGGAAAAGGACGGGAGAAGACAGCCATGCAGGGTCTGTGTGTCTAGGACCTGAGGCCCAGGAGGCGCTGGTCGTGGGTGGGTTTGCATGTTTGTGGTGTGTCTTAGGTGGTCTCTGCTCAGCCAAAGGCACTGGAGCCCCATGTGCCACCTGTGAAAGCAGGAGGTGTTAGAGGAGGCTTCTCACGCTGGCCAGAAGTCAGGCGGAGGTGGGGACGAAGTAGACAGTGCACATGCCCGCAGAGGTGAACTAACCACACGGCCTCTGAGCTCCAGCCCTGGAAGTCAGCTCTGGAGAGCTGGGCTGGGGAAAGGTGTCCCTGTGAGCATCAGGGGAGGTCGGCTGAGATGCGATTGAATGAAGGAGAGTTGGGCAGAGGCGAAGGGGCCACTGGACCCTGGCAGCTGGGCTGGGCTGCGTCTGTGGATGACAGGGGCCTGAGGAGCCAGGGGATTTAAGAGGCCTGTGCATGCCAAGGGAAGGAGGCTGAAGGCTGGTCAAGATCTGGGAAAATACGGGCCCCTATTTTCCCTGGGGGAAGCTGTGGTGTGACCGTGTGGGAGGGCGTGGGGGCAGAAGCATTCTCTTCCTTAGCTGGAGCCACCCAGACACCCTGCTGAATGTCTTTCTGGCCATTGCCGTGGACAACCTTGCCAATGCCCAGGAGCTGACCAAGGTATGTAGGCAGGGATGCCACCTGCAGCCCAGGGGCAGCGAGGGGTGGGGGATCAGTCCATGTCACTCTGGATGAGACTGGAGAGCCGTGAGCAGGTCCAGGTCCTGGCTTAACAACCTGTGTGACCACTGTCCAGGGTAGTTTCTTCAAGGTCCTGGACAGGCAGAAGTTAGGCTGCCACTCAGGGGTGTGGGGGAATGGTGCTGAAGAAGCATGGAAAGACACGGTGCCAGGAGGGAGATGACCACAAGGACAGCTCCTGGAGAAGCCAAGATCTGGGAAGAATGGCCAGAAAGGCAGGAGGAGGTGTGGGGAGCAGGAGGTGGCTGACAGGAGATACAGCCCAGAGAGAGCCCGGAGAAGTCGGGGGCAGGCTGTCCTGGCCTCAGGAGTGAGGGGCCACAAGATGCACCAGTCAGTGTGGCCGTGTGAGGTGAGGGGAGGTGTCCCCGCAGAAGGGAGAGGGATGCATGAGGTGGGCTCTAGGGAAGATCCAGCTCTGAAGACCCTAAAGGGCTGTGAGGGCCTCTGTGCTCATCCCCGGGCGGTGAGGGGGCCCCTGTGGTCAGTCTCAGACGTGGATGGTTGAGCTCGTGTGGTCACTGGGCAGTGCTGTCCTCAGATGCTGGGCCTGCCTGGTGCCCAGAGGAGCAGCTGGTGTCTCCTCTCAGCACATCTGTTCCGCAGCAGGGCAGCTCCTTCTCCAGGCTGTGCCCAGTGGGGGGCATCTAGTATTCATCTCTCATCACTGAGCGTGGTGGGGGATGTGATTACACATGTCTTTGCCTGTGGTTTCCCTCCAGATGACACGGCCCCCTGCCTGGTCACCATCACCCTCACAACCCTGCACAGTGCGGCTGGGCTGCCCGCTGTCTCAGCCTCAGGCCTGGGCTTTATTGAGCCCCAGCTCCCAGTGCAGAGGGAGCTGCCATCCGGTCAGGCCATCTGGGAGAAGGTTCTACCCTGTGTGCTTGCTCTGTATGCCAGGCATGTGTCTGCGTGTACACCTCTCTGTGTGCGTCCATGGGCTCATGCCCACCATCCCTGACAGATGCCTGCCTGTGCTTGCACCTGTGCACGTTCCTGTGCCTGTCTGACACAGCCCAGTCCGCTCCAATCCAGCACATCCCAAGACTGTCAAACCCGTCTCTGTGCTGGGGCTGAGCTTGACTCGGGCTGCCCTGAGGAAGCAGGTTCAGGGCGTCTGTGCAGGCAGCAGGGATGTGGGTGCACCACGGTGCTCCTGACAGCGTGTGCTGTGCGGGGGCTCCTGCTGCCCAGCCCGCTCTCTTGCAGGAGTGCCCCAGGTGGAGGCTGCCCACACAGTGTGCCCTCCTTTGCTTCTGCTCAGCTTTCCTCCTCCCCTGCCCCAGGCCTGGGCTGTGGCAGTCCCTGCGGGTCTAGGCTCCTCCCTTGCTCTGGCCCCTGGCTTCTGAGAACTTGGGAGTCCCACAGGCCTGCCCATTTCTGTTGTCAGCCCCAGCAGAGACAGAGCCTCGCCATCCAGGAGTGGCTGGAGAAGGGCCCGAGCCCCTGGCTGGGCTGCCTGGGCTGGGGGACCTGTGCATCCACAGAGCACTTTGTGGTGTCAGGATTTCTGGGACCACGTGAACAAGGGGTGCCCAGCAGCATTGGTGGTCTGGGCACCAGCTGTCCTGGGGCAGGGGTGAGCTTAAGCTGGAAGCTCTCATTGTCTCCTCAACTTCTGCTGTGGGCGAGGACACCCCGAGGAAGCAGTGCCCTGGGAGCCCTGTCTCCATGCACAGACACCTAGGTGGTGGCTCCCTGGGGCCAACTGCCGTAATGCAGGAATTCCTTTTTGTTTGGGAGTTGGTGCAGCTGGAGGTCTGTCTGTGTCAGACTATGGGGCATTTCCTGGGCTGGCCAAGAGCCCCAAAGGTGGGACTTGCCTCTCCTTCCTTTAAATTCTCACAAATATATTGTAGCATCATTTATTTTTTCAAGTGGGAATAAACTCAAGTTGAATTTATTTTAAGAACACCCTTGGGAGTGATTAGAGACATTCTCTGCCCCCGAGGGCTGTAAACCAGGGTGGAGTCCACAGCTTGAGGAAGGACCTTGATAGGGGCATCTCGTGGTGGATCTGGCTTTGCCTCCTCTCTGGGGCATGAAGCTTGGAGGTCTCTTCTCTATGGTAGGAAATCTGCAGGCAGCTAACAGGGATCTGGAAGCCTTCATTTTCCTCCCAGGGCCCATGGACTCAGCCTGGAGCTATTTATCTAAATCCAGGAGCAGAGCATGTTGGTTTTGCCTAGTGACATGGGGTCAGGGCCAGAGGATCTGTCCAGATGTCCACTGCCCTTCCCCTGGAGGGGGCAGAGGCAGGGCAGGGTGTCTGCACACGTGTGCACACATGAGCACATGCCAGCCCTGGTGGCAGAGCCATGGGGGTCCTCTCCAGGAGCAGGTAGTGAAGGCAGGGCTGGGCACTGCATGTGGCCATCAGGTGTTGGGGGAACAGGGAGGGATTCCTCACAGCCACAGTTGGGGAACGGTGGACAGATGTGATCTGATGAGCCCAGGTAGAAAAGCTCAGAGGCTGTGAGGTGGCCCTGCTGGACCTGCTCCTGGTGATGGGTCATGTGGGCAGTGCTGGGCTGGGGACACAGGCTCCGGTGTGGAGCCTTGCCCCTTGTCCTTGCTCAAGCTCTGGGGCAGAGGCTGACTTTGTTCAAGTATGACGGTGGGGCAGGTGGGGTGAAAGGAGGGATGGATTTGCATTTTGACGGAGTGAGTGTGAAGTGCTGTGGGATGAACATGTGGAAATGTCCAGGCAGCGGGGTCCTGGGGGCTGGAGCTCAGGAGAGGGGTCAGGGTGCCAGCATCGGTGTGGAGTCATCAGCTGGTGAGTACCCTGGGAGCTGGCACATGGCAAGAAGGTGTTGATGCAGGAACCTTGGGGACCGTCACCTTGAGCAGCACACATAGAAGGTGGTCCCTGAAGGCTACCAGAGAGCTCATGTGGAATTGGTGCTCGGTGCTGGAGCATGGGTGGGTGGTGCTAAGGCAGGAGCCAGATGCATGGCCCCAGTTCAGAGGGCAGGAGGGACTCAGAAGCTCCAGGAGGAATAGCTGATGGCGTCAGAGTGGATGCCATACTCTGCAGGCTAGCTACACATTTCTGTCTTTTCAAACAGGATGAAGAGGAGATGGAAGAAGCAGCCAATCAGAAGCTTGCTCTGCAAAAGGCCAAAGAAGTGGCTGAAGTCAGCCCCATGTCTGCCGCGAACATCTCCATTGCTGCGTAAGGCTCTTGGGAACAGATGGTGGGGTGGTGGTCGGGCTGCTACGAGAGTCCCACGGGTGGGCCCTCAGCAGGGCACTCCTTCCAGAGGCTTCCTCAGAGGGCCCTTGTCTTGGCTGGAGCTTGTTAGGACACAGCCCCTCCCCAGGAGCTCTGATGAGAGGAAATGGCTCCCCTCTCCTGCAGGAGCCTTTGAGCACAGGGCTTACCAGGGAAAGCCTCCATGGCTTCTCCCAGTTTGAGTAGGAACAAGGTGTGGCAGCGTGTGGCCCTCACGTAGTGAGTGGGATTGGCTCTGCCGTAGGTGTTCTCTCCTTGACAGTCTTGGGTGGCTCCAGGGCCCCTCCCTGGGCAAAGCCTGTGAGTCAGGAGTAAGGAGTCAGTATGTCTGTTTTGTACACAGCTTTTCAGAAATGTATTTTGTGAGCCAAAAGATTCTAGGTGGTACTTCAGCAGCCCAAGAGACTTAATGCAGTTTCCAAAAATGTCTTTGAGATTTTGGTGCTGGGACAGAGGTCAAGGGGAGCCTCTCTGATGAGAAACGGTGAAGGCGAGGCCGAGGCTTCCGCGGGGAGGCCGGTCGTCCCAAGGTCCAGCTGAGCCTCGAGGCTCGTCGCAGCATATTTGGAGGCACTGGGGACTTCAGAGTTGGGACAGAGTGCTCGGCCCAGGGTCAAAGGCTACAGTGGGCTGGGCGAGGGCAGCCCTGGGGGAAGAGAGGCAGGGAAGTCTGGCCTACAGAGTGACCATGAGAGGGCATAGAAGAGCTCTCTGCCGCCGGGCGCTGGCTCTCTGGGCCAGGCTGAGTCCACTTGGAGCTGACGGCTCTGTCTTCAGCTCCACGCCCCCCGCACTCATTTCCCATGCTGACCCAGGGCCCTGCTCTCTAGCTGGCCTCCCTCTCTTTCTGTCACCACTGCCATCACGGTGCAGGAACAGCCACGGGCACGTCTGTGGTGACCGCACATCTGCACTGCTGAGTGCACATGCTGGCGCAGGGATGAGTTTGCCGGGAGTGTGAGTGTGCCAGTGTGAGAGAGTGTGCCTCTGGTTGTGTGTGAGTGTATGTGCTGTGTGTGCGTGTGCATGTGTGAGCGTGCATCACAGCGGCCCTGTTCTTGCCTGGTGGTCACCAGGGTGATGGCCTGTTTTCTAGGAAGGCGTTTATAGAGGACCTGTCTCTAAGCCAAGCCGAAAATGCTGGACTTTGGGGGAGAGTAAGCTAGCGGAGATCACAGGCCCCTGGGGGCCCAGGCGGGACATAGCAGTCATGCTCAGGCAGCTGCTGGGGGCTCAGTGCTCAGTGGTTTCAGTGTTTTGTTGTCTGGCCAATTAAGTTACTCGGTCTGCTGGGTCTGGACTGCTGTCACCCAGCAGACTTCCCTCTCACGGCCCCTTCCCTGAACTCCCCTTCCCTGAGCTCCGTAAGCTGCTGGGGGTCTGCTGTAGAGGGCGGCAGATGAGCCTTTGACTTACACACATGGGCCTTGTGGGGTTTCTGTTGAGCATCTGCCTTCTCTGCTGTTCCTGGCGGTGAGTGTGTTGTCTTGTGGCCTCTGCTACCTACCAGGGCTGCCTGCCCCTGGGGAGTGTGTGGCAGGGTGTCCACTCCCATCTGGGCTGAGATCTCAGAGAGGAGGGTGCTGGGGCCCTCAGCACAGCCACGGAGAGTGCGTCAGTCTGCCAAAAAAAGAAGTCTGGACGCTCTTCCTCCTCCATCCCCTGGCTCCGTTGGGGATGCTGCTGTGTAAGAACAAGGCTGTAGACTGGCATCCCCAGGCCTGGAGAACATACGACACCAGCTGTTGGCTGATCACCACCTTGGTGCTCTGTTCTCCTGGGAATGGGGTGCCTGGGGGACTCATAGGTGCTCTGTGGCACAGCAGGTCCTGAGCTGGGTGTCGGCTCATTCCTGTCACAGCCAGCCTGTGGTGTGTCCAGGCAGTGGCTCCTGTGTTCCCCCCTCTTGGGCCAGCTGGGGGTCCTGCAGGCTCTCCTGGGATGCAGCTTTGGGCCTTTGTCCTCTGTGGCATGCCCTCAGCTCACCTCTGTCGGGCATGGCGATCAGTCTGGTGTGATTGCCAGAGATCCCGCACACTGGGCCAGGCCTGGGCCCCCGGCATGTGTGGGTGGTGGGTGTGAGGATGGTCATGTGGTGGTTGTTTGCGTTCTCTGTTGTGCTGAGACCTCTGAGGGCTGGGGGCTGCTGCTCAGAACTCTGTGTCTGTCTGTCCTCTGTCTGCCCCTTCCCCCTCCCCCCGACTGTTTCCTGTTCTCCTGATGAGTCGTGTTGGTTGGACGGGCAGCACCTGCTTCTCCTCCGCATTCATCTCTACAACCCGAGCTGCTGGGGGGTGGTGAGAGCGAGGTCCCCCAAGTGACCCTCGCCCTGACCCTGCTCCTGACAGCTGGGCTGTGTGGTCTGTGAAGTGGGGGGACTGGCTGGGATGTTCTCTGTGACACCTTGATGCGAGGGGTGGTGTTGGAGAGGCTCCCATCGGCGCTCTGGTAGCTCGACGCAGACGGTGCCTGACGGGCCGGCGGCGCGGGGCTGGAGTCCCACCTCAGAGGGGCGCCCGTGTCCCTTGGAGGTCAGCTGGGGCTGGGAGTGTCTTGGCCTCAAGTGACAGCCACCTCAGGCTCCTGGGTGGGAAGGGGCGCTAGGGTTGACGTGGTCTTCCTGGTTCTCTCTGCTGAATCACCCTCATCATCACCCGGACTTGAGAATCCTGGGACATACACTCTCACACTCACACTCACACACGTTCACACAAACACATGCACACGCACCCTGACACTTGCGCACACGTTAACACTCACATCCACATCCACTCACACACACATTCATACTCATATACGTTCACATCCAAACACTTGCTGTCACACATGATCATACACACTTACAAATGTTCACACTCACCCACATATGTTCACATTCACTCACACGTTCACACTCACACGTGTTCACATTCATGCACGTGTTCACACTCATGCTCACTAAGTCCACAGCCACTCACTCACATGCATTCACACTCACATGTTCACACTCACTCAAACACTTGCTCTCATATGTTCACACTCACATTCTCACACACATTCACACTCACACTCTCACGATTCATACTGACTGACCCTCACTCTCATACATGTTTACACTCACTCTCACATACACTGATTCACAACCTCACACACTCATGCATACTCTTCACACTCACACCCACTCACATACACATCCACAAGATTACACACTCACACACACTGATTTGCACACTCTCTTTTGCATACACACGCACCTGTTTGCACCCAGGGCCAGCAGGCAGATGAGTTGCCTTGAGCTCATCACAAATGTATGTAGACTAGACCTTGAGAAGGAGGAGCTGGGAACCCACCTGGTCCTCCCCTGAGGAAGCCACCTTGAAGGGAAATGATGGTAAAGAGATCTATTGGTTCTGGAAAAGCTTCCAGAAAGTCACTTGGAAATGGCTGGAGTTACACCCAAGGGAAGGTGGGTTGGTGATGGAACCTGTGCCCTTGGGAAAGGACATGGTAAGCTGGAAGCTCTTGGTTTAGAGCCTGGGGAGCCGAGGGGCTGGGGTGGGCTGGGGAAGAGCGGGGTGGTCAGGCAGCAGGGCCCAGGTGGGGCACCACAGGTAAGGCCTCCTGTGTTAACTGCCTCTGCTCCATCTCGAAGGCCAGGTGACCACATGCCTCGGCCCACCCTGGCCCTGTGGGGGTGGGGCCCACCCTGCCAAGTCTGGTGCGGGAGAGCTGTTTTGTATTGTGGGACAAGTGGTGCTGGCTCTTTCCAACCCCACTGCCCTTCTGGGGGCAGTGTGTGCAGAGCTGTGGTGGACGGGCCCCCAAGAGAACGGCTTCTTGTCTTCCAGCCGTGGTGGGGTTTGCTGTGTTCACTTCAGTTTCACTTTTCTGCTGGATGCTCTTTCTTTCTCAACTTCTCTTTTACCCCGAGGTCTCAGCTGGTGCCCATTCTGACGGAAGCATCCCTGGCCTCCCGCCCAGATGCACACTGCAGCCTGCACCCTGACCTGACACGGCTCACGCGTGTTCTAGTGTCTCTTAGAACTCTCTCTGGTTTTCTCACTTTTGTTTTGTTTTGTTTTTTGCATGTGCAGTTTTGTAAAGCAAACTCGAGGTACTGTATCTCGCAGCTCATCTGTCTCCAGCGTAAACTCACCGTGAGTCGCTCTGCTACGATATCCATCTATGGCTTCATGATAACTACACGCAAACACCTTCCCTCTACGCCTAACTCTGCTTTCACACCTCAAGTCATTTGCTTCAGGGGCAGCTCCAGGCGAGCCTTCTGCAGCCTGGTGGGGGACATCCCTGAGTCCTGCTCACGGGCATCCACCTCTGAGCTCAGCCCTTCCTCTTCTCCCTCCTGGTTTCTGTCCTCCTGTCTGCTGTCTGTCCATGTGTTGTCACTCTAGTGTCTCAGGCACATCTGCTTCTCCTGAGGTGACCGCCGCTGGGTGCCACTGGGGGCTGTCTCTTTGTGGTTCCCATGAAGTAGAGTGTTCGTTAGGGGCTCACAGGGGGCATTCATGGGGTCCTCCTGCCCCGTCCTTTCTTTACTTGGGAGAGGATGTATCTGTAATCCTTAGGATGTCCTTGTTCTAGCAAGAGCAGAGCTGTTGTCTGCTTGTGAGGCTCATGCTAGACCAGCCAGAGCCCGAGGTAGAACCATAGAAACCCCAGGGTGGCCCTCCTGGGGTGTCACCAGTCTGACCGTGGAAGTGGTCCTGGGTGACTTGTCCCCAGGGGCTTCCTCCACACTGTGAAGCCAGGCCCTGTAGGGGAGAGGTCCCTGGAAGGGCGGGGTACAGCTAGGCCACCTGGACAGAGATGGCCAGGTACCCTCTGCGTCCTGGTGATGGTGGGAGCTCCTGTTGTCCCTGGCTACTTTGCTCCCTACCTGGCCAGCACAGAGCTGGGTTCGGTCCTCTCACAAGCACTTGGAGCTACTGGCTGTTGGGGCCCTGATGTCTCATGGGGTAAGAAGGCTGGATCCTGATTGATTCACAGGATGGAGTAAGATTCGGACGTAGGTATCGATGGTGTTACACCATGGGCTGCTTCACAGTGTCAGCAGCTGTGGGTAACTGGCTTTCCCAGCCCAGAGACCTCAGAGCAGGGCCACACCACAGAGGCTCCTTGTGGAGTCTTGCAGACCCCCACAGTGCCTGGGTTGGGTGCAGCTAAGCCAGCTGCACCTGCAAGCTGGGGCCGGGACATCGTGGGAGTGATTCCTCCACGTGACCCCTTAAAGAGCCCTTTTAAATAAGGACTTTGCCAGAATTAGAGTCACCAGCCACACTGCACTGTAGATCAGAGGGTGGCCCTGCCCTTGCTCTCATGTTCTTGCGCTGCTTGGAGCTCGGTGGAGAGGCACAGAGTGAGAGACCAGTGCTGGCCACACTGCTCCATGTGCCAGACAGAGCAAGGAGAAAACAGCCACCAGGCAGGTGCAGGCTGAGTCAGACACCAAGGAGGAGAGGCCAGTGCACAGAGTGAGACCATCCAGAGAGCAAGTCAGCAGTACCCCTGAGTGGCAGGCGGCTGCACAGTCTCTGGTGGCATTAGGGCCCAGACAGGCAGAGAGACCCAGCAGGAGCCGGGCCAGGTAGAGTGGCAGCGCGGGCTGCTCAGCATGTTGCTCCCGCAGGTAGTCATGAGAGAAGCCTGCCAGCCCCACGGCACCCTCCAGTCCAGCAGACAGCCCACCTCTCCATGAACTTTAGCTGCTTCCTGGGAGAGAAGAAGCTGTACCTGAGGGTAAGGTTGAGGGCAGAGCCATGCCGTCAGGAGCCCATGCCCACTGAGCTGCCTGGCACCACACGTCCCCGTCATCTTTACTGCCTGTCTCTTCTGACAGAAAACTGGTCCCCAGGACTCATGTCTGCCCCTGAGCAGGCCACCACCCTGCCAACCAAATGGCTCAGAATCCAGGCCCATGGGCCGGCTCTGTGGCTTAGCGGTTAAGTGCGTGCGCTCCGCTACTGGCGGCCCGGGTTCGGATCCCAGGCGCGCACCGACGCACCACTTCTCCGGCCATGCTGGGGCCGCAGCACACATACAGCAACTGGAAGGTTGTGCAACTATGACATACAACTATCTACTGGGGCTTTGGGGGAAAAAAGGGAGGAGGATTGGCAATAGATATTAGCTTAGAGCCAGTCTTCCTCAGCAAAAAGGGGAGGATTAGCATGGATGTTAGCTCAGGGCTGATCTTCCTCACAAAAAAAAAAAAAAAAAAAGAATCCAGGCCCATCTTGGGCTGCTGGACTGATGGGGAGGCCTGAGGCAGTGATCGGCCATCAGCTCTCACGGGCTGCTATGCCTGGGGAACAGCACTCATGGCTGTCTCCATTTCTCACAGTTCAGCATTGTCTAGAGTCCGACCCTTTGTTTTGATGCCAGCTGGGAACCAGTAGGTCCCCTGCAACTTTAGGGTGAAGCCAAAGAGAGGGAAGGTGGGTCTGCTGCCAGGTGTCCTTGGGAGTGGGGCCGCATGGCTCCCATGTGTCAGGGGAGGCAGGTCAGGGCCTGGGGGGGCAGCCCAAGGTGCAGGTCAGCGGATGGCCAGAGAGGCCGACAATTGTCCCCCACACGTTGCCCTGCCTGCCCCCGTCTGTCCCTCCGGTGATCGACAGACGTTGTGCTCTTCTGCTCACATACTTTCGAGGCACTGCCCTGGAAATGGCTCCCCACACTGGAGCCTGGACTTCACCTGCAGAGGGCAGGACTTGTCATCCATCCACTTTGTCCAGGTCAACTGCAGAGACTGGCCGCCCCTGCTTTTGCAGGTCAGCATGGTGCTCAGTGGCCCAGGGCCCCGGAGCTGGTGGCCTGTGCAGCCTGGGCCCCAGAGCTGGTGGCTGTGCCGGCCTGGGGCCCCTCGGACTGTGGCTTTAGGCTATGCTGTCAGTGCAGTTGGGGTCTGGCCGAGGCCTCACGTCTTTAGATATGTTTCTTCTTTTTGCCCCTGCATGCGTCTGATTCTGGCTCCGTCAGTGATTCACTGTGGGACCCTCTGAGAGGCACGTTCTTTAGGCTCAGTGTCCTCATCTGTGAAATGGGGACAAGAACAGCACCTAATTCCTGAGGTAGTTGTCAGGGTTGATGAGGTGGCCACTGGAGCCCAGAGCACAGTGTGGCCGATGAATGATATGGATGCCATAGCCATCATCATCTTATGCTGCCATCACCGCCACCACGGTGGGTCCAGAAACCTCCAGAGGCCGAAGGACGGCACTCTGGCCTCAGAGGTTTCTGCTTGGCCAAGGTGGGGCTGGGATTGCCTACTTTGGGGGTCTTATTCAGCAAAGACCCCAGAATGCAAAGGGCTTCCTGTGCACCGTGCGCTGTGGAGCCCCACATGTGACCGTGTGAGTGAGGCTGGAGGGTGGCCAAGGCCTCTGGTAGCCTGTGCAGTGAGGGCTGGGCCTGGACCACAGGCCGCTCTTGGGCTAGAGGGCTCCTCCCTGCCCCCGGAGGAGGGAGGGGCTCTCCATGGAGCCAGGAGAGAGGAGGGCATTGGTAACTACAGGAGGTAGTGTCTCCAGCCCCACCCCCCACTGCTGGGCTTCTGGGAGCAAATGGTCACTGAGCCCAGTGGCAGCTGCCTGGATGGGGCTGACCACCTCAGAGAGCAATTGCAGCTCCTTGTTTGCTCGCGAGGGCCAGCTGCCCCCAGCCCTGCTCCCTGGGCTAGTTACTCTTCCTGGAGTTGGAGATGGAGAAGCCCCTTCCCCAGGTGGCTCTGCTGCCCGTGCTGCAGCGGGCCGGCTCCCCAGGGTGGCTGCAGGGGCTCCCTGCCTCCTGCCTCTTGCTCAGTCCTGCCCCATTTGGCCACTGTCTCCCCCCTCCCCTTCCTGGCCAGCAGCCTACCTGCCCCGGAAGCCTGTCTGCCACTTCACGCTGGTGCGTGTCATTCCCACTGACCTGCACCCCTTGGCCTCGGAAGCTCTCCGCCTGCTCAAGAGTGGCCATGAGCCCCACCACCTAGGCGGGTGCTCTGGTGGTCTGCCGGGTCCTGACCACAGGGGCAGTGCTGAATTCTATGACCCTGGGTATCCCCGCCCCGTTCTTCTGCATCGACTCTGCCAGGGGTCTTGAGGGCTCCTGCCGCCCCTCCTCCTCCCCCCTCCCTGCGCCCACTCTGCCATCCCTCCATCGCTGTGTGTCCATCTGTGGGGGGCGGCGCAGGGGGCGGCCGCTCACCGCCAGTCTCCCCGCAGCAGGCAGCAGAACTCGGCCAAGGCGCGCTCGGTGTGGGAGCAGCGGGCCAGCCAGCTGCGGCTGCAGAACCTGCGGGCCAGCCGCGAGGCGCTGTACAGCGAGATGGACCCCGAGGAGCGGCTGCGCTACGCCACCACGCGCCACCTGCGGCCCGACATGAAGACGCACCTAGACCGGCCGCTCGTGGTGGAGCCGGG